CTCTCTCCTTCTCCTCCATCATCGCGCCTCCTCTCCCTGCTGGGTTCTGGTTCCTGCTGCAGCAGGGTTGCTCCTCCTCGCTCTGCCCGCTGCTGTCTGGGAGGAAGAGGCTGAATTCAGGGAACAGCAGCTTCATGCAGGACTCCATCTCAGTCAGCGCCGCCTCCATGTCGCCGTAGGATTCTGAAGCGGAAGCAGAACTCTGTTAGACGGTACTGCAGACCCCGCTGACCCATTCGGACCTCAGAACCTTTGATCCGGTACCTTCCATGTCTTTGGCTGCTGCCTCCACTCTGGCCCTGTAGATCCGCTCCATCTTCCTCTGCCTCTCCTCCTCCCTCCTCCTCTCTGCCACCGTCCGGGCCTCAGCGTCCTGGAAGTCCACCTGAACCAGAACATTAGACCCAGAATCAGGATCAGGAGGTTCTGGTGAAGCTAAGCTAAACCTGCAACATCTGAGAACATCAGCAGCTCCACCAATCACAGCCCAGCACCTGGAGATCATCCAACCAAAACCCAGACAGTCACTGCTCCTGAGAGTCACTGCTCCTGGGAGTCACTGCTCCTGGGAGTCACTGCTCCTGAGAGTCACTGCTCCTGGGAGTCACTGCTCCTGGGAGTCACTGCTCCTGAGAGTCTGGGGGCTCAATGAGGGGCCCACCGAGGGGACAATGAGGGTCACTGCAAAAAATTGAAATCTAACTAATTTATTTGTTCTTGAATCGAGCTCAATACCAATGGAAGAAGTCAATTTACATTTAAAATAAGAAAGAATTTATTACATTTTCTTATTTCAAGTGCATTTTATTGATTGATTGACTTTATTGAGAAATGTAGTGATTTTATCTATTTAGAAAGTGAAAATACTCCATATTCCATTGGTAAATCATCTTATTTACCTGCTTATATTAAGGGTAAACACAATTAATTTCAGAAATTTCGACACCGATTCATCATCATCAAAGATGAAGGTAAACTGAAGCTGTCTGTTGGAGCAGAGGCTCATCTGTAGCTGAGAGGAAGCGGCTGGATCAGCTGATCAGGAAGAACAGCTCTGATTGGATGCCCTCTGGACTCAGTGCAGGAGGTGGGAAACAGACAGATCCTAACTAAATGAACATCTCTGTTGGATAATGTCTCCCCCCCATACAAGAAACTGGTGCTGAACTGGACAGCTCCTTCAGTGACAGACTGCTGCACCTTAAATGCACCAGGGAGCGTTATCACAGATCCTTCCTCCCAGCAGCTGGAAGACTCTAGAACCATCACTGTTCCCAACAACCTCAATCAGTTCTTCCATTCATGATGATTCTGCAGTTTCAATCTTAGTCAGTTAAATAACCTGCTGCTGTCATTTTAAACATCTCTGATGCTGCTGCTATTTTCACATTACTGGAAAAAATGTCCATAGCTGCATATTGGTTATTTATTCTCCAGTTTTAGATTGTTAAAACACTTTACCGTCTTTTATTGTTTATATTTTAACTTTTCATGCTGTAAACACCAGAATTTCCCCATTGTGGGACAATAAAGGGATTTTCTATTCTTCTATTGTATTCTATTCTAAACATATTCAGTCCCAATACAACGTATCCACATAGGAGCACGGCAGTGGCATCATTATGGCCTAGTCAAAGTCCAGACCTGCATCATGGCTCCACCAAGCAGACTAAGCCAGAGTTTGGGTGGAGAGGGTGGAGCTGCAGCTGAGGTTCTCCATCTATCTCCTCAGACCCAGCTGGTCTCCATCCAACAGCTAGAACCTCCATGCAGGAAGGAGGTGATGATGAACCGCAGCAGATCTGAGATCAGTCTGCTCACCTTCTTCACCCGCTTCAGGAAGTGGTAGCCCAGGTCCAGCTTCTTATAGGCCGAGCCGTAGGAGGTCTGCCAGGATTGGACGGTCTGGATGGCCAGCGCCCTCAGCTTCCTGGCTACCTCTTTAGGAGGAGGGAGGGGCTGCTCGCTGTCCGTCTCCACCGTCAGCTCCAGGAACTCCTGATCCACACAGAGAAGGAGAAGTTTAGTGGAAGGAGGATCTCAGCTGGGCGGGGAGGGGGGGTCTACCTGGAAGTGTGGGTGTCTACCTGTGAGGGGGGGGGGTCTACCTGTTAGGATGGGGGGGGTGTACCTGGAAGTTGTCCACCAGCAGCGTGCGGAAGTGATGGGATCTGGAGAAGAGCTCGCTGGTGATCTGGAAGGCTGACAGGCGGATCTCAGCGTGTTCCTGGCTGAGCTGCGTCATCACTGAGTGGTAAACATGGTCTATGCAGTCTGTGGACAGCCTGGCAGGAGGAAGGAGACACTCAGAGACAATGGTTTCCTTCTGAAGGTGGAGGAGCTGCTCCACCCTCTCCTCTTCCTAAAGCTAAAGCAGACTCCTACCTGCAGAGCTTCTTCAGCTCCTTCATCTTCTCCTGGTGGAGCTGCTGCTGTCCAGATGTGGTCAGTTCCTCCACCAGCTGAGACAGCCGCTCCCTCTGAGGCAGCTCCATCCTTCAGTCCGGTCCGGTTCGGTCCGGTCCAGTTTGGGCAGAGCGGAAACACTCAGCGCTTCCTGGAACCTTCTGATGTTCTTTGATCTTGGACTAAAGCCTAGAGACAGAGAACATAGAACCTGCTCCTTCACATTGTGACGTAACTGCAGATAAAGAACAACAAGGCCGCCATCTTCTTCCGCTAGAAAATAACTTCCGGTGGGGCTTTTCAGAATAAAAGCCTCCTTTACGTGCCCAGCCATAGATATCCATAATAAATTATGGATATCTATGTGCCCAGCTCCTTCTCAGTGGTTTAGCGGCTTTAGGAGGATTAACTGCCTCCTGCTGGTGAGGAGGGGTAATGCAGTTAAACAGAAGTCACTGGTAAAGAAAAACATTTTGAAGGAAGTACTCTTTTAGGCGATTTATTCTGGATCAAGACATAACAGAACATAGACTTTCACATCCAGCATAATGAAAAACCGGATGCAAAAAAATAATAATCAAAACAGGGAAACTAGATCTTACACCGATAGAGTGAGGGGAGTGGTGGCCTAGTGGTTAGGGCATAGAGCTTGGAATCCAGACGTTCTTACTCCCCACTCCCACAGCCTCCACTCTGGGTCCCTGAGCAAGACCCTTAACCCCTCACTGCTCCCCAGGCGCCCCACAATGGCAGCCCACTGCTCCCCAAGGGGAGGGGTTAGATGCAGAGGGTGAATTACCCTAATGTGAGATCAATAAAGTTCAATTATTATTATAGAAACAAACCATGAGGTCAAAAGGATTCATGGACTGATGGTTGCCATGGAAACCTTTGGAGCTGCAGCAGCTTCCTCCTCCACAGGCCCAGTTAGGAGGTCAGACCCTAATGATGGGAAAGGAAAGCAGTCATGGTGGCTCCACAGTCTCAGTTTTCCAGCAGTCTGCATGGGCGTGTTTGATTCCAGAAGCTGCGTCTTCCGAGGACCCGTTCTATCTGGACTGGATCCTCCGAGGACCCGGTCTTTCTGGACTGGATCCTCCGAGGACCCGGTCTATCTGGACGGGATCCTCCGAGGACCCGGTCTACCTGGACCGGATCCTCCAGGAATCCAGTCTACCTAGACAGGATCCTTGGAGGTCTATGAAAATAAGGAGGCCAGAAGAGTTTTGCTGTGGATTCAAACAGGTCCAGCCTTCAGTGGCTTTTACCACCATTTGCTCTGTTGCCTAGCAACCATGAATGTTGACACACAAAGCAGGTAAAGAATGGATGCAGTACTTCTCCCTGCTGTTCTGAGTGTTCATAACATTTCTGAGGAGCTTCAGCATCAGTACCGTCGTCTCAGATATCAGATTTCTAGTCCCCGCCCTGCTGAGATGTTGGAATCTGAGCTTAAATGTCAGCCGAACCCATTTCCACAGGGACAGATAGAACTTTTAGATAAACCAAACATTACCGCCACATATCTGACTCAATAACCATTTAGAATAGAACTCAACTTTATTCTACTGTCACAAGTTAAAAGCAATGATGTTCCCTCTCTGCATTTAACCCAAGAGCAGTGGGCTGCCATTGTGCAGCACCCAGGGAGCAGTGTGGGGTTAAGGGTCTTGCTCAGGAACCCAGAGTAAACGGTGTGGGGATTGAACCGGGTACTGCAACCTCCTCAGAGCACAGAGTACTGCACTAACCACTAGGCAGTCGCTCTCCTTAGAAACAACTATTTTCATTCATTTCAGACGGAACTATTCACAGACTTGGATTGTTAAACTGAACTTCCAATATTCACCACTGTTTGGCGCCATTTCCCTTTTTTTCCTCTGATCACGGAGCAGCCGGCTTGCTTGGACTTACAATGAATCATGGGAAAACCAAGGCTAGAGAGGACATATTGGACCCGTCCCTGAAATAGGGTAAAAAGAAGGACGCATTTGTCAGTCGCATAACGAGGAGTCTTGGAATCGGACCAGACCTCGGCGCCTCGCTATGACATCATCGGTCTTCAAATCTGGCCTATGCAGGATGCAGCCGCTGGATTGGAACTCAGCATCAGAGTTCCAGGTCTGGTTTCTGATTGGTTAAAAATAGACCAAACATTCACTTTCAAACCATTTATTTATTGTTCTACGTAAACAGTCTGTCAGCGTCAGACTGAACCTTCCGGGGGACGCCTGATGCAGGGAGACGGACGAACCGCCGGTTCTGGTCCGGTCTGACTGCAAAGAAATCCATCATGGATCTTTAACAAAAGAAATCATCTTCATCTCAGACCCAGTGGAACCAGTCAATCTAGTAGAACCAGTCATCCCAGACCCCCACAGGGGGTCCGGTTATGTGGCCCGGTCCAGTAGAACATCCCGGTCACCTGACTTTGACCTGCAGGGTGTCGATAAGCTCCACCATCTCTGTAAAGTAGCTGCTATCGTCTCCCAGAATGGTCTCGGACCGGACCAGTTCCAAGTACTGCAGCTGGAGGGAGTGCAGAGAACCGAGCAGAGACGGGTCCGAGCGGTACTGGTCCAAACACACGGGCGCCATAGCCAACAAAGCCCGGAGAGCCTGCAAACAAGATGGCAGCGAGTGACTGCACCGTTCCACTGGAAGCAGACCCATGAGAAGCTGTGAGGAGAACCGGTACCGGCAGACGGACCTTCTCCCGGTAGTCGTGCTCAGAGGACTGGAGCAGCTGGGGAACCAGGCGGCACCAGCCCTTCTCCATCAGCTCCTCCTGCAGGGACACCTGGGCGTACTGACGCTGCCGTTCTTCATGGGACGGGTCCTGGACCGGGTCCGGTCCGGCCTGGAAGATCAGTACCTGAAGGAGAACATGGGTCCGCGTCAGAATCCCAGAATCAGCCAGAAGGACGGAACCAAGTCTGCCCCGGGTTCTACCTTCTCCGTGATCATGTCGTACAACATGGTGACGATACGCGTTCTCAGGATCCCTCCTACATCCGCCCTGAAGAGCTCCGACAGGATCGTCAGGCCGCCGTGGGACAGGAAGTGGCGCTGTGCGTAGGGGAAGTGACGCAGCAGGCTGGCCAGTGCGAACAGCACCTGAAAGCGGAAGGGGGAGGAGTCAGACAGGGTTCACTCTGAAGGCCGGGTTCTGCAGCCGTAGGATACCTTCTTCCTGACGCTAAGCTGCTGAGCGGTGGCCAGCGATGTGAGGAGCGTCTGCAGGGCTCCGCCCTCCACGGCGTGGACCTGCACCACCGGGTTACTGCAGGACACAGACATCCAGGGATGAGGTCATCCGGTCTAGGGCTGTCTGTGATCCTAAGGATCGGGGTGTACCTGGCGGCGGCGGATCCCAGCACCAAGGCGGAGTTCTCCTGCAGGCGGATGTCGGAGCTGTTCAGACCGTCCAGGATGAGGCTCAGGCCCCCCATGGAGCACAGAGTCTGAGCGTTATCCACCTGACACACAGCGACAGGACGGTTAGAACACCTGGAGCACCTCAGTCTGAGCTCCACCAGGACGCAATGATCTACCTGATGCACCAGGTACTCCAGCTCCAGCAGGATGCTCAGCCTCTGCTCTGTGCTGCTGCTGCTGCTGTTGAACTGCTCCAGCAAGCGCTTCATTATCTGCAGGAACACAGGAGACATGTGGGACGGACCCCCAACAGGAAACACCTGACTGATCCTCTGATCTTCAGCTGCTCTGGTTCTGACTGAGGACAGGCTGCCTGGATGGGTCTAACCATAAGCTCTCTCCTCCACCCATCATGAGCAACGTGAGAAACAAGTTAGATCAACCAGATCATTTATGAACCAGACCTGAAAACATTCAGAGTTCTCCAGGAAACTCATTCAGCAGAAACATTGAGGCATCTGCTGGGAATGTTGGACGGCTTTGAAAGAATCTAATTCCAGCATTAATAAAACTTTAATCACAGATACTCAGCTGGTTTAATTCAGTTTCACTCCATCAGAATTGAATGATGTCCGTTTTCCCAGAGCGACTGATTGGACATAAACCTGCATTATGACCATTAGTGTTGTTCTCATAGAATATAAGGCCAACCAAAGCTCAAAGAACTGTAATTAGAATCTACACCTTCACCATTGTCATCCTCATAGCGCCGCCGTTTGGACGCCACAAGTCCAATAAGCTAGGAAACCTCTTTTTGTTTTTTATTATTTCTTGCAAGCTTTCCCTTTTTATTTTTCTCGTCTTTGTGTCTTATATGAGGAAATGAAATGACCAAGGTGTCAATGTTTGTGGTTAAACTTTGGTTAAATAAGACGAGCAGTCAGTCAGTTGATTAATCAGATATTAGACGGGCCGAGCAGATCCCTCGGCTTTAACTGAGCCATCAAGGCGCCACTGAAGGACCAACTGGAACATTAGTAAAGACACTTGATGGATGACAATGATTCTAGCTTTAAAGACTGTGCCCAGCTACACAATCTTCAAAACTAAAGGGGGGAATGTTGGGATCAAGTGTCGCCGAAGTAACCAGAACTACTCCCCTCTGGAGACACACCCCTCTAGTAGAGGTTTTAAGAAGGACAACTTCCTGTTCGCTCCCTACAGCCAGCAGCTGCAGCTGACCCTGAACGCTTTCCAGAGGAAGGCTACGCTAAAGTAGCAACCAAATCCCTCTGGAGAGTTCTGTGCTCGCTGAACCGAGTCAGACTACCATTTTCTTACAATTCAGGAGCTGAACGTAGTGACTGTCCTAAATCTAAATGCCGAACAGTGGAGCCCAATTGCTGGAGGCGTTAGCCGTGGCTGCAAGCTAATCGCCGTTGCTAAAGGGAAACGTATCAGGCTACTCTGAGTGTTACATCCCCAAGATGGATCTTTTTGTTTTTGCAGCCAAGTAACCCCATGCTTTGTTTTAGGCTCCGCCCTTAAGACTGCGTGCTGCTTCCTGAGTCTCAGCCCAATCAAGATCACCTGCTCACTATCTAAGGCCTGTGAAGCGGTACTTCAGGGCCTCGGGGCCATTTGTCTGCTCTACACCTCTGTGGTTGTTGTAGCATCTGATGGGCTGTTCATTTGCTGCCAGGTAAACCTGTTTAGATGGTTTTTTTATTTAACCCCAGTTTTCACCTCTTTATGTGTTGGTTAGGTAGGTTATATTTGGTAGGTTGGTATATTTTGGTTTTTAGATCGAGTTTGGTAAGTCCACATTTCTTTTTCTTTTAGGGTTGTTTTGTTTGTTATTTTGGGCTGAGCTCTCCCTGAAGCTTTTAACATTATTTATTTAAAAGAAATGGCAGAATAAACAACTGAAAGGCGTTCTGTTCCAGGAACTCCTCTAGAACCTCTGGTGGTTTTTTACCTTCCTGCCTCCAGCACCAACATCTACAGCAGCTGGAAGGAGAGAAGCTAAGAAGAGTGTTTCTCCCTTGGTGGACCAAAGATTGAGCACCTGAACATCTGTCTCCACCAGCAGGTCCAGCTCAGCCATGTCCTTCTTCAACTCCTCCAGCGGTCGGAACCGGGATGCCACAGAGTCCTGCAGAGGGAGATCAGACTGGGTTGACAAGAAGCACAGCAGCAGCCACCAGGACAACCAGGTCTCTGCCTACCTGACTCTTCATCTCCTCCTTCATCTTCTTCATGGCCCGTTTTAGCTCATCTGGATCAATGGACGGCTCCCTGCCAACAGACGGTTCAGGTTTCTATGGCTGCCCTTTGACCCCTTCTCACCAATCGGCTGTTAGTGGGCCCACCTGTGCTCCTGAGTCCAGTACTTCAGCTGCTCCTCTCCCAGTCGGACCTCCCTCTGACCAGTCTGCAGGTTCAGCCTCACATGGGAGCCTGCTGGTACCGCCTGGCCTG